TTGTGCACATCCGCTGCTGACGTGGTGTTGCTGGACGGGAGCTCCAAGGCTTTGCTGTTGTACGTCACCTCTGCTGGACTAGTTGGGTCGTGTTGCTGGACGTGTATGCCTCTGTGCTTCTAAGCTGGAATGTTGGATCTGAGGGCTTCCTATTGCTAGACGTCACCACCAGCTCCAAGCCGAAACACCCTCCATTGCATGAATGAAGATAGTTGGGCCTACTGCCCCTTCTTCGTGCGAACGTGTGCTGGACCGAGAGACCTCTCCAAGTATAATGCGTGTGCTGGACCGCTTCTACTTTTTGCCACCTGCTTGCTTTCATTCAGCCCCAAGTGGATCAACACTTCTTTGCTGGACAACTTCTTTTGTTGCCACCACATGCTGTCGTCACCCCTTTCTTCTGCTGCTGGATCGTATGAAAATAAATGGCTGCAACTCTTCACGTGTTGGACCAGCATGGGGTCTTTTACGTGGACGTGTTGTTGTGTTGTTGGGCCCTCCATGTCTTGCTTTCTTTTCTCCAGAATAATCATCGTGTTCTCCTCTCTGCTTCCAAAAGTAAATCAGTGCAGCTTGTGCTTTTTGCAGTTCAGCTGCTTGCTACTCTTCTCCATTCTATTCAGCCGTGTTTGTCTCTATGCGGGATCTTCTTCCAGCCGTCCAAGAGCACCACTCACCCTTTACGTGGACCAGTCCCTTGCTGCCATCTTCTCTGCTGCTGGACGAAGCTTGCTGACCGTGACTCCTTTCACACGTTCCAGCCCCTTGCTTCTTCCGTGAGAGCCCCTCCTTATATATGGTGGCTGCTGCCTTTGTGCACCTCCAGCTGGACCGTGAGCTTCTTTTCCATCTACGTGCAGCACCTCACTTTTCTTCCAGCCAGCCATGTCACCGTGCACACCACTCTCTTCAAATGGAACCAGCGCCTCTAAGCTTCCAGCCTTCACCGTGAATATGCTTCTCTTTTCCAGATAAAGAAATGACTTTGTTGGTGGTGGATGGACCCCATAGGTCGTGACATTTACTTGGAAATTGTGGCAGCCCACTTTCTCTTTTATTCTACCACATAAAATCATTTTCCCAAATTGAAAACAGCACTGCAACATTCCAACCAAAATATATATTTTTTTTACAAGCTTTTCTATGTGGATGTAGCAGAACTCCTTGCTGGACAGTTCTCATGAGCTATTCCCGTGTGCATATCCAGCTAAATGGAAATGAATTGTCACTTTAGTTTCTCATTTTAATTTAAAATTTAATTAATGAAAATTTTCTCTTTTAGTCCCAAAATATTCTCCAATAATTTCCCTGCACTCAGTAATGTAAATAATTAGTCTCAGATAATTCAAATTAATTAAAATAAGAATTTCTGATCGAATTAAGCACAATTAAGAAAAATGGGAAAATACTAGACATTTAAGCACAATTCCCCGATTAATTCTAGTACAATAAACTAAGTGAAGTGAAGAAAATATTGACTCATCAATACTCAATGTCCTTATGGTGTTTGTCATGATCTTCTCAATGTTCTTGCTCCTCAGCATCAGGATTCTATGACTAATTATATGGGTAAAATTCATGTTCCTTTTCATGAATTTAATGAATTATTGCCTCCTGCCTCTACTCTTGCCAAAGAAATAGATCAACGGTCAAAGCTCTTCATGCTACTAGCATTGCATGGCCTTGTTGATGAGTATTCTCATATTCGTGATCAGATTTTGGGTTCACCTATTGTTCCCACTTTGACTTCTACTTGTGTCACTCTTTCGCATGTACCTAGTAAACCCATCAATGATACATATGTTTTCTCTATGTTGGCATTTCAATGTCATGATCGCAATCACTCTTGCAAACCAGGAAAATGACGTCTCAAGTGTAACCATTGTGGCAAGCTAGGCCACATGATTGACAAGTGTTATGCATTACATGGTCGTCCTCCAAGATCTGTTGCTATTGTTAACACTCCAGCAAGTGTACCGAATTGTATCAAGTAATAATAAATGGTAAGATCAAGTATCGTTTCCCAAGAGACTCACTGCTTAGACATTCATGTGGTTTCTTGATTAATTAAGACTTGTAAACAAAATCATGGTGTTTATAATACAGAAAATAAATATGAATGCAAGTGTTGATCAATTGACTTGAAGAATCCACAGGTGATTGGTGTATAAAATATGGAATGATTATGTTGTTGGGGTTTCCGACTTATCCTATCCACTCTCATGTATTTATGAATTCATCTTCTTCATTAATGTTAATGCCACTTTCTAATTTACCTTAAACCCTATGTCTCGGTGAAGAAAGTTTACTCTTAATTACTAGATCACAATATCTTGTATCCCCAACAATTAATTATGCATTACATTCTCACAGAAGCTTAAAGGTAACCAACCCTCCTATCCCTATGTCTAGGTAATATTGCTTTTGGGAGAATTTCCCCAGTTCTAGATTTCCCCATATGTTTCCATATCGACAACATCAGTACTCATGCAATTGAATGAGTTAAACAAAGCATGCATAAAGCGTAGAGGAAAAACCCTAACAATTAATGAAGTAAAGCATTTATAATATACTCTGGTTGACTTTTCTACATTCTGGTTGACTTTTCTACATTCTGGTTGACTTTTCTACATTCTGGTTGACTTTTCTACATTCTGGTTGACTTTTCTGCATTCCAACTATTTGGTACTTTAACTATTCTTTCAAATCATTCCAATAGCCTACAAAATCAAAGGAATTTAGTAATAAAATTATCAAGTATAACCTCAACTCTCTTATTCACAAAACTTAACAGAAAAACATGAGTTAAAGCAAGTTTCTAAGTCAAAAAGGGTACATTTAGTATCAAAATTATATCACAGATAACGATATTTTCAACTGTTATCAAACGTCATGATCACAATCACTCTCGCAAACCAGGAAAATGACATCTCAAGTGTAACCATTGTGGCAAGCTAGGCCACATGATTGACAAGTGTTATGCATTACATGGTCGGCCTCGTAGATCTGCTGCTATTGTTCAGACTACTTCTCCGTCACAATCACCTACTAAGAATCCTCCTTCATTTGATAATATTGGTGACTCTATTATTATCAAATGGTAGAAGGATCAACAACCTTCTAGTTTCACTGCATCTGTAGCACGCACAAATATATCTTTTATTGTCTGACTCCATCTTCTTCTCTTGGCTCTTGGATTCTTGACTCGGGAGCCATAAATCACATTATTAGTAACAAATCTTTGTTAGCCTCTTTGTCCTCTATGAATCCTTTATCTTCTGTTACAATGACTGATGGATCTAGAGTTTTTGCTCATGGTGTTGGGACTGTTAACATTTTTCCTTTTTTATCCATTGATAGTGTTCTTTATGTCCCTAGGTCTCCTTTTAACTTATTAGCTGTTAATTATCTAACTCGTTCTCTTGATTGTTATATTTCTTTTAACAAAGATTCTGTTTGTTTATACGACCGGAGTTCGTGACAGGTGATTGACATCAGATATGAGCCTCATAGTCTTTATCATCTTCGTCCCTCTACACATATTGGTGCAGTTATGGAGTCTCCATCTCTTCTTCATGCTCAGTTAGGTCATCCCAGTCTTGCCAAATTGCAACAACTTGTTCCTATCTTATCCAAGTTGTCCAATTTGGTTTATAAGTCGTGTTAATTAGGAAAACATATTCGTAGTTCCTTTCCTCGTAGTCGTCTTCGCAAATCCTCATATGGCCTAAAATAAGATTCGCAAATCCTTATGTGGCCTATTTATCATCTGTTGGTGTATGATGTGATTTCAATTCCTAGTAAGATGCCTAGCTAGGGAAGGTCGCTAGAGGAGGTTGCACTCTCTCTTTGGCCGTGACTTTTGAAGGAGAAAAGTCTGGAGTAATCTCAATAGAGTATCTTTACTAGAAGAATCAAAAGTGAGTAATGAGGTAGAGTTAGGTGTCTTTATCGTCTATAAATGAGTCATGAGGACTTTGTTAGTGTGAAATGCTTTAGACATTTGATATTTTGAATATGATATGTGATTTATGAAAGGATGAATGATTCTCATATGTTGATGTTAATTTCGAAGTAATATGATTTAAATTCATTCTATCTTAGTGTTTGGTTGTAGCTATCCATTTGGGATGACAGTATATTTCACATAAAATAATACATTAGAGTGTGTGGAGCTAGTGTATAGTCTATGTTTATATAAATATACTTTGTAATTGAGGATTGTACATGACATAATATTATACTATTTGAATTGTGCTCTTGATACAAATAATGTGGTAACCTATTTGGTAAAATTATCTATTATAATTGGATCATTGCATTTTACTTCCATACAAAAATATATTCTGTTCTGCAGATAAAATTACTTTAAAAAACATGAAATCGAATTTAGTTAAAAATTTATGTAAAAAAGTTATCAAACTATGACTAGTTAACTGCTTATAGTATTTTGCTGTAAATAATAATGCTTAAGAAATTTATAATTTTTTGCTGTAAATTATAATACTTAATAAATTACTAACTACTTTTTTTCTTTTTTTTTCTTTTTGGGATTAACGGGAAAAATTGAAGATAGCATAAATTTATCCTTTGCTCATTTTTCTGAGTTATCTTTATATTGGTGAAGCCACTAAAGTTGTTTTGCTTCTCACTACGACCATTGACTGAGAATTCAATAACAACTTTATATTAATGTTTTTTTTTTCAATATATTTCAGAAAGAGTTATCAAATTTCTTTCATCCAATGTTGGTAAACTTTTAGGTGAAATTATAAATAAGCTCTCATATAATAAATTTCATTAGAATTCGTGAAACTAGTTACCCAGTGCAGTAAAAAATAACTAAAAAAACTGGGGCTATCTGCAAACTGATATGAAATCAGTTTAGTTTTCATAATTTACAAATTAGAATTAAAGAAAAAAATGTTTTAAAGCTAATTGGTAAAATTATGTTTTGCATGATGACAGGATATGCAACCATGGGTGTTCAACATCATGTGTAGAGAGAAAGACTATGAAGATCCTCATTTCATTCTTCAGTATATAGCACAATAAACAGCCTGATATTCCTATAGAACATGGGATGCTAACTCACAACAAAAGCCATTCATAATACATTACTTGTCAAATCACAAGAAGCAGTAACATGAAAACATCATAGCAGGGAAAATTTACTCTGTGACATCCACAAGCAATGTAATTCCCTCAGTCACCAACAGCTAGGAAGCTTGTAGAATATATTCATTGTTAATCATGATCTGGTCCCACATCAAAAGGGTCCTTAATACTACTATCCATTCCTGTACAGAAACATGAAATCATGGCTTAGATTTATGTTAAAAAGGGAATGGTGTGAACTGGTAAATTGTAACTACCATTTAGGATCAGTTTTCCAATTATTTCAATTGCATACATCTCAGATTTTCTAGCACTATAAAGGGAGATAACAAAACAGTGAACCAAACTAGGGCGATCTTATAACAAAAGAGGCATAGATATGTAATGATCTTCTAGCTTCTGTTTTGCGAGACACTATCTCTAATCGAGATACAATAGTTGCATTTTTCTAATACTAAGTAGTAATGTTACAGTGCATTCATTACATTGAATGAGGGAACGGTATATTGGTGCTGACCCTGCCGTCAGATTTTGTGGACATCATTCTTTCCTTACCAGATTGATCGTATTGATGTAGACATATAAACTAAGATTCCAAAATTGTTGCTGCGCTGATACGTTTCTAAACTTCAATAGTTTTAGTAATTTGTGGATCCCTATTCTACTAACATTCCTAGATTATGAAGATTACTGCATATATATTAATCAACAAGACAACAACACACCTTAAAATAGTGTCACATCCAAAAAGCGAACTAATGAATTGATAATCCATTCGCAACTCTGGACAATATGATCATGCTACCAAAGCAGGATAATATATGCCTGTAGTGAACTAAGGCAAGGAGTCTGTTGACAACAGTTCTTTTAATATTTTGCCAGAATCATCAACAGACTTCTGATTTTCTTGTAAGCCCAAAAGCCAACATAAATTTAATAAAATTTCAGAACAAGTCCTTTTTCAAGATCAATATAATAACAATAGAACAGATGACAGGTATTAGTATATTAAATTTTACCAACTTTAAGAATGATACTCAGAAGACAAGGAAGTATAATGGCATCCTATCAATACTTCAAATGACAAGTCCAAAAAATTCCAAATTCCAAAAAATATTAGCAAACCACACAAATTAATACGATACGCCGGATTGAGGGGAAAGTTTAAATAAAAGGTGAAATGTCAGGGTTAAGGCAAACCTTGGTGAAGACAAAAAATTGGAAGAGCTGGGGAGGCCAGCAAACACATTCGAGTAGGACTTTGTCAGATATGAAAAATTGGTAACCGGAGGCAGAGAAGATACCCTTTCACCCTTCTTCAAAAGTTCTTGTAAGTTAAGTCTTTGCAAGGTCAAAACAACTCTTGACTCCTTCCACATGAAAGCAAGGATGCCATTTTGAAATACAAAGAGGGAACCAGGCTTTGATCCAGGGTATCTGAACCCATAACCACTTGCAATACCCTCTCCCACAAAAGCATGGTCGACATTCACAGGAACCAAATCTGCATCGGTATCCCAGGGAAAGGGTTCGGACGAAGGTTCATTGATATTTGCTGTGAACATTGCTGAACCATTAGGATGCAAAACATAGTGTGTGCCTTCCAAAATCTTGGTTGCAATGAGAAGCTGTTGTCCCTGGAACTCCTCATAAGAGAGCAGGAGAAAGAACAAAGCCTTTCCAGGTTTGTCTTCAGAAGGTTTTCCAGGAGGCCAACCAAAAGTTCCTCCCCATAAACCAGCATATTCTTGGTCATCTCTAGGAACTCGCAATGGCAACTTGTAAAGCGCAAACCTACTGTCGTGCATATTTGGCCATGCCCGGTAAGAAGATAGCTTCACAGTTGATGCTTTTAACGTTAGCCTTACTGTGTCACTCGATCTAAGGAATTCTTGAAGCCGTGCATGCCTAATCTCACCGCTTGACATAAGCTTCTTCTTGGAAACTGAATGATTGCCATTCATTGAATTTGATCTTCCAAGCATTTGCTTAATGCCATTCCAGAAATATCCCCTAAGGCCTTTCCTCTTGATGCACTGGGTGTTACCATCCTCCTCGGGCAGAGGATGAGAGATAGACCTTAGGTCAAATCTCGCCCTAACATCACCCAATTCCAACTGGGTTGGATCAACTGCCTCTTGAGAACTCAACTTATTATACTCATCAACCTCACCACTACCAGCCTTATACATTTGACAAAGGAGTGATCTTCTTTCCCACAAAAGCGCCAAATCCTTCTGAAAATTCTCCTCATCATCCCTCAACCTAGGAAACAACGGCCCAATCATCTTATCCGGAACCTTTTGTCGAACATGGCTAGTAGTAACCTCAAGCAACTTTCTCCTATCACTAAAAGCTAACTTCCCAAAACCAACCATCCCTTCAGCATTTCCAACCACCCTTTGTGAACTAGAAACATCGCTAATTGACCTACAAACCTTCCTCGACGATGAAGACTCCAAGCCCGAGTAATGCACAAAGCTCTTACTCTGCAACAAAGCACTAACACTGCCACACCCCCCAGGTTCAACCTCAAGCAACAGTACATTACAGGACTTATCTGTAAGCTTGACCGAACCGGGATAAACATAATTCACCCCCTTCTCCCTCCCATGAAGAAAAAACATCATGGAACCATCATAATCACTAACAACCTCAAACACAGAAGCCCACAGTATGGGACCCTCTTCAATCCCCAAAGGACCAAGCTCCTGGGGAATTATCCTGCACCCAACAACAGAGACGAAACCAGGCATCACATACACCACGTTCCCAAGCTCAGGATTCTGGTGAACCCATATTCCAATCAATGGTTTCACACCCACCAGAAACCGACAAAGCGCCTTGTAAGAAGCCACACCCTTTCTCCATTCCACAAGATCCTTGTGGGTCACTATGCCCAAATCGTCACATTGCGTGAGCCATAGTTTCTCAGAGGCCACAAGAGCGTTCAAACTCTTGCAACACAGACACAGATTGCACACGTCTCTCGGCGACAGGAAGCGAGAAACAACGGCGAAAACATCGTCCGGCAGAAACAACAGCAAGTTCGAATCAGAATGTTCGGGTTCCATGCCGATCCGACAAAATAAAAATCAAAACTTGCACGCTTCAGCGCATGCCCAAAAATCAAAATAGCGAACAAAACTACAGGGTTGGGGTGAACGAAGAACAAACCCTGAAAATTGGTATTTTTTTTCAGGCAGCACGTGGAAGAACCCTGCACTTGATAGGTGTACTGTGATTCTTCCTGTTCGGTGATTGAGAAGGGTTTGGTAGGTTGGGTTCAATTATTGAGTCTGTGACAGAGACAGTTTGACAGAAATGGAGAGAGTGAAAAAGAGACGGTCGAAATTGGGGAGTGAAAAAGCAAGGAAGGTTGTTGGTGTTTTGGATTCTCCAATGAAGATGATGGTAAATACAAAGGAGTGGAAGAGAGGAAGAGTCCAAGAGAGAAAGCCTTGATTGCTTCGTTGTCTTGTCTTTTTTCGGTTTCTTTCTTCCTTCAATGTTCAAAACAAAACCAAGCATACGCAATGTTTGGCAGCGGAGAATAAATACAGGGAGAGAATGAAGGAAGAAAGTAAAAAAAAAAAAAAAAATTGAAAGTGAAAATAGAGACTATTTACCATTACCTAAGATAACAAAACCAGAACGTAGCTAGTTTGAAAGAAAATAATAATATTTTATTTTACCTTTTATTCCACCTATACTTATTTTTCTTCTTTCTTTATCACGTAAGTTCTTCTCATATATATAACCATCTACATCATTTCATAATCAAAACTACAAATAATTTAAATATTTTTTTACCTTTCAATTTTTTTGAGAACAAAATCATCTGATATTTAAAGAAAAAAGTATTTCAAATATAATAATAATTAATTCTAATCAAATATTAACGTCATATTCATAACAATCAAATACAAAATTGCAAATAAATATTATGACTTGAAGTATAAATTACGATTTATAAATAATTAAATCCATGATATATTCTTTCATTTCTCCAATTGATAATTTATTTCAACAGGTTCTCTTTATTAAAATTGATTTTGACTTAGACAAACACAAGGATAGCTCCTTGAAGAATAATAACAATGTCAAACAAAGTTATGGTTCGTTCTTTTCAGAAATTGGTTTTGAGAATAAATGATACCTCACACATAAACGAAAGGGTTACCAGAATAGGAAGAGTAACATGATAACACAATATTTTAACTAATTTTCTCTTCAATTTCTATAATTCTATCTTAGCAAAAAAAAATATGTGAGCCCCACCTACTAATATTTAAAAGATAACATAATTCCCCAAACAATCCATTATTGCCCCCCATCTGCGAAAAAAATACAAAAGATAAAAGAGGATGGAGAGTGTGAAAGATGAAAAATTGGATGAAATTAGGTTTCTATAAAGGATTCTTAAGTTTTACTAATGTGTAAGGTTTTTTTATAAAAGTTAGATTAGATTTTATTTTAGAATTTTTTATATTGTTGTAATACTTTTTTTTGATAATGTAATATTCTTCCATTATTTTCTAAATAATAACATAAATTTAAAATATATTTGATTTTTGTAAAAATCTACAAAATTTTGAGAAGACTTTACAATATTAAATTTTTTTACAAATATTATCTTTAATATTTACTGATATAATTAAATAAAATAATTATTTAAAAATATCATATAAAATATTTAAAAATATATTTGTCCCAAATTATCATTTATCATAAAGGTTTTTGAATTATCGAAGCCTTTTATTGAAAAAGAAAAGATAGAGAAAGCTCGATTTTGATGTTTGTTTTTTATTCTTGACTATGAAATTTCTTCATTTTTTCATATTTTCTTTTATTTTTTTATGTAATGTTTGACTTTAATTTTTGTGATTTTGATTATTTGTTATTCTTTGATTTAGTTTTAACGTGTCATGAAACTTTAGTTAATTTATTTTTACATATTCATCAATGACACAACTGCATTAAAATAACTCAAAATATACAAAAAAATATTTATTCAATTAAAAATTTATTTTTAATATGACTTTGTATCTCATGTTCAATATATTTTATTATCAATAAACTCAATTCTAGTACATCTTAATTAAAATAAGGCTTAATACCCTATTTTGTCTCCAGTTTCGCTCGACAATGTCAAATTAGTCCATCCTTTAAAACGTGCGTCAATTACGTCCTTACTTAATAAAATTTATATCAATGTGCCGTTTGTACGAATTTAACGGAAGGGATTTCATTGATATAAATTTTATTAAGTAGGGACGTAATTGACGCACGTTTTAAAAAATGGACTAATTTGACATTGTTGAGCGAAACTGGGGACAAAATAGGGTATTAAGCCTTAAAATAATATTTTAAAACACAAAAATCAATTAAGAATTTTATATTAAAGACTAAATGAGGATACACTAGTGGAAAAACAACGTATAACGTCACGTATTCAACGTCGTAGCACTCAATATCCAACGTTAAAAATGACTAGTGGCATTTTCGTAAATAAATTGAATCGCTCCACGTTAATTAATAAAATAGTGCGCTGACTAAAATGTATGAACGTCAAACAAGAAGCATATCGACGTAATCTAAAATGTATTAACGTCAAATAAGGCCCAGATCGACGTAAAACAATGACCTTAGAATCTCATAACGTCAACTTAAGAAACATCTAACGTTCAATTTAAAATAAAAAAATAACGAAATAGTGGTTTGCTTCCAGCATTATTATTCCTACCCACATTTGATGTCAACCATGACAAATATTTGACGTTTTATATGCCAGCATGAAGCCAAAGAGGTAATCCCTTTTTTATTCTTTATTTCTTTTCTCTTATAAACCAAACAGAACGNCCCCCACTTAAGAAGGAAGAAGAACCGTACACTACATTGCTTGCTACTGTAGCCGAGAATCAAAGCCAAAAATGAAGCACCTCTCTCCCTCCTTTCCCAAGTGGCGGCTGAACCTTCTCCCTAGATGATGCTACGTGATTCGCTTTTGTGCACGCTGCTTCACTTCTTGTTGGACACAACCCTCTCTTTGCTTGCTGGACCGTGGTGAAGCCCTCCGTGTGCAAGCAGTCTATTGGGCCCTCCTTGGACGCGTGTTCCTGCTGTGGTGCAGGCCGTGAGCTTCACTTCCACGTGCTTTTCCTTCCTTCCAGCCAGCAGCCTCTGCTTTCTTCCGTGTGCACCTTCCATTCTCTCCAAACACACACCTGCTGGACCTACTTGCTGGACCAAGGCAACGTGGATCTTCCAATTAAAGCCTTTTTCCTCTAGCCCAAGTGATTCAGCGCTTCCTTCACGTGTGCCACTGCTGCTGTTACCAAGCTTTCTAAAGTGAATGAATCACCCTCTCATGGCTGCTGCGTGTGTGCTTCCCATTCCCCTACTGGACGCGCTGAACTTTCTTCCAAGCTGCTGGGCCGACGTGTGCTTCTGTCTAGAAGAAATAGAAAGATGCCTCTCCAATTTTGCGGGACGTGACAGGCCGTGTGAATGCAGCCCAAATTAATGAAATGTTGGACGGCTGCTGCACTTCTTAAAGCACCCCTGGATGTCCCTACTTGCATCCAATAAAGAAACCAAAAAACCTTTTATTTTGTGGGCCGTGACATGCTGCTCTAGCCTTCAAAAACGTGGCAGTCCACTTCTTCCAATTTAAACACAACATCTTGCAGCACATAACCCCTTAAAAATCCATATGAGCCTTTCACACTTCATTTCCAATTGAATTTAGAAATTACTATCTCCCTGGCGGTTATACCATTCCAACCCTCCGTGTGCACCCCTTTCTCATAAGCCCAAAAGTGCACTCTTTACTGTGCATACTGCTTTTGTGGAGACTTTAGAAATATGTGACAGCCCTCCAAATGTTCCAAAATATTATCCAACAATTTTCCTGCAATTAATAATGCAAATAATTAGCCTCAGATAATTCAAATTAATTAAAATAAGAATTTCTGATCGAATTAAGCACAATTAAGAAAAATGGGAAAATATTGTACATTCAAGCACAATTCCCTAATTAAATCTAGCACAATAAGCTAAGTGAAGTGAAGAAAATATTGACTCATCAAAATAGACCACACTTAGTCTTTTGCACTCCTGGGCAAAATCAAGACACAGATCAAGGAATAGTTCAGAGGACATCAAGGGTACGACACAAACTCAACACACAGAAAACAAAGACTAACAAGGACATAAACAGAATTACACAGTCCTCAAGGAATCTCGACAAAGAAAAGAAGTAGACAATATCCAACACATAATGAATATGAGAAAGCAGATACTTATGAAATCATCCAAGCAATTTCAAGCATGGTAAAATGATCAATCAGTTCAAGAGGTGAATCAAAAGCAACAGAACCTCACAGATGAACTATCACTGTATCTCTCAAGTGTCTAGGGTAAATAATGCCAACTCGATGCACTCAAGAAAGCAAGCACACACAGACTTGGCAAGCCTCTAATATCAACACTAAAAAACATATGCATGTTCAAATCAAAAGGTCTTTTATGGATGTAATGGGGCCAAGACCAAGGGAGGATAAATATGGATGAGAAGTCTAAACATATTGTTTGTCACAAATATCTGAACCTCGACTTATTTGAAAAAGAGGGATTTCACTTCCAGGAATGGATTGAAACTTAAGGTCTCTTTACACTTGTCCAGATGAAGGGTGATTGTTACCCTTACTTAGTAAGGGTCTTCTACAATAATATGAGAAACATAGATGGTGTCCTTCATTCTCGAGTAAAAGGAGTAAATGTTCACATTAACAATGATGTATGGTTTCAAGTTGCAGGATTAAAAGCCGAAGGGTTATTCTCGCACTTACGGTACTTAGAAACAAACAGATGGTTGAAGAAAAAGGACGTGTACAATAACTGGTTAAGGTTTCCTGGAGATACACAATTGAAAGATTATATGTGCATGAGGGAATGAATAAAGAAGAACAGATAACAACACACATTCTTGCTTGGGTGATTTTACCTGCTAGACCTGGACAAGACAGAATGATAATTGAAGATGTTTTCCTGCTGTATGCCATCAAGAATGATGTTCCTACCAATTGGGTGAATAATAAAAATCATATGATTGATGCATGAACCAAACATGCACGACATCTACCATATGTTGTGTTTATCACAGCAAATCCTGATCCTTGAAGGTGTGAATGTATGGTGAAAAGAAATGCTCTTGTAACTGCTCAAATGTGATACAATCAAAACACCTGACTTCCATTGGCCTTGTAAGACCACAAAGGGATGGTGCTTCAAGGATGAAGAGAATATGGTTCAAAGTTCTGGAAGCACACCTACACTAAATGAAGACCGCACCAACTTCTTCCCTGAAAACCAATTTTGAAAGATTTGTTGTTGACTGTTGTCGACACCCAATTTCGTCCGGATTGACTATAATAGGTTTATTTTATTTTATGTTATTTTCTTTCATTTTTATTTTTTAATTTATACTTTATTCTTACCTTCTTTTTATTTTTATTTTACTTTAT